TTCCTTCTGTATCCTCTCATTCTAATGCAGCTACAGGTAAATAAACTTAGTTGTCTCTCTCTCTCTCTCTCTCTCTCTCTCTCTCCCTCTCAATGAAAGCATTGAAAAATCGTAGGAAGGAAAAGCTTCTGAATGAACTGTCTTTCTATGGGTCCTGATTTTTATGTATCATATTCACCTTACAATTGGTGTGAGTTAGTTAATGCAGAAGATTTTCAAGGAAAATTAATAGTATTTCACTACTTATGATAACTGTGGCAGATATTGTGGAGAAAGATGATGAGATAGCTATGGCTTTACAAGTTGATGACATAAATGCTTATTCATTTCTCTATCCAGTGCAATTACCTTCTAAAAAGTTTACATTCAAATGGTAATGGTAAACTCACTTTCCTCAGTGTTTTATGGAATTTCCATTATTTGTGTTTTGTGTCTAACTTTATTCCATCAAACCTAATTGGTTTTTGAGTTTTAATTCTTTTGCAGTATTCAAATTGATGCCAACATGATCATTTCTTTTCTTTTTTCAATTGATAGAAAAAGAAAGGGGAAGCCAAGTGAACAAACTGAAATATGAATATAATTGTGTTCTCATGAAATAATGATGACTTCTTCACTACTGGTCAGTGAGGATAACGTCTCTTACTTATTACTGGTAATGCTGATTAAGACCTTATTGTGTAATACCTAATTTTCAGAACTACCAGTATTGCTGATGGTTGCTACTTAGTAGTTTAGTCCCTATGTTTAGAAATTTCTTTCTTATTTTCAAGAATTCTACATGGTTAAAGTTGAAGTTGTAAATATGTTGGCAAAGACTAGTATCTCACAGAAGATGAATTACACAATCTCTGTTCCTTCGAATTGTTTATCATGCTTCTTTTTATTCTCCTTCCATCACAACTACTACAACAATCTTCTTTGAAGTGATCTCTGTGCTTTTTGGGTTTACAATGACACTGTTGCCCTTGCCCAAAGATCAAAATCTTGATTGAGGGAGACCATTCTAAACATCAGTTACTTTTTCCCCACTTTACTGGCGTAGGTTACTAAATCTTCTTTTGAACTGGTCTTGTTTGTGGTTTTGACTTTTATAATGAAACCATTAACTGAGTATTGAGGTTATTTAGTGCAAGTGGCACTTCTCTAACCAAGATTTACTTGCCCTCAGTAAATACCCCATTAATAGAACTGTTTTTAATAAATTCTTCCATTATCTTATTATAGTTGAAATGTGAGTCCGTGTCCTAGTATCTTCTTTTCCATAACCAGAACTCTACTTTTTTCTTTGAGATTATAACCAGAACTCTACTTCTGTCAAGATATTAAAAACATTAAAGGTTTGGTCACCATGGTTTTTGAACCTTGTTATTTCCTTTGCGTAATGAGAAACTGAGAAATAAAAGCACCATCCCATAATGAAGTTTTTATCGCTTTAACTTGTTTACGTCTAGCCTTGATTTTTTCCGTTCATTTAAAATGTTTCTGTATTACTTTTCATATTTATCGCTTACCCAAGATATATTGTGTTCGCCAGATAAAGGATTGTATGGTGCCTCACAATATTTACTTTCTTAAAACCATGAATTTGGGTCTCCAATAAAACACAATTTTGTGGATGCTCATCATATATCAGAAGCTTATACTATATTATTCAATCACCTTAACACTTATAGCTTTTTATAATTTTGAAGGGTGGAATCTAGAAAGCCAGAGCGTTATTCGTCAGCTGCACCACTATCTCGTAAGTTGGTACTGGCTTGCATTTTGAAACTATTAAATGACAGTTAACTCTGCTGTATTAGTGATCTTTGTATTTATTTATTCTGGTCTCTTTTTCTCTTTTCTTACGAAATGGGGACTCACCCCATAACTAACTGAACCACTAATTCTGTTCCTCTCAGCTGATGCTCGCCAGCGTATTGTGTCCGAGCGAGTTGACATGATTGATAATGTTGTTATATCTGTTTCGGTAATTCCAAATGATCAATTCCCGTTTTATTACCAAATCTGTTATCTTATCTGTCTAAACTGTTAGTTAGATGGAGAGAGAGAGAGACAGAGCGCAATTATGAATCTCCTTTTCCTTTTGATTCTTGAATGCAGATTGGTCCTCCCAATTCCCGATTCCTAAAATCCAAGGATAAGAATACATGGAATGCAAAAGATGTCGCTGATGCTCTCTTATCCGACAAATCTTCTTTGGTATTAAACTATGCTCCTTTAAGAACATAACCGGTATCATTTTCCCTTGTTTCTATTTAATTTGAATTAAGGTTATTTTCCTTGATCCTCAGGCTCTGACTATGGGAAAGCATACTAAAACCAGTGAACATAGGAAAATCCATTGTCCATTATGTGATCACTGTCGATCAAAATGGATGGTCATGGAGGGAGAGTGGACCTGAATGGGACATGACCCCATCGGTGGGTCCCAGTCAGTGTGCATTAGTTCTTCCATGTCCATTGGATTGAAGTATACTTCTTATCTCATGTATTTTCATACTATGCATTAACTGCTAATTGTTTCTCTAACAAAGCAATCATTGTGCAGCGTATCACCACTGGTCAACGGATGGCCGAAAGTTCTGTTCTTGATGCTCATCGCACTGATGTACTAAACACATAAACTTGTCCCTTTATTCTTTTCTAGTTGGCATCCTAATGAATTATTTTTCTTTTGTTTTGGATAAAGACCTTGAATGATTTCTTTAATGTGAGGAACTGCCAATGACAATTTTTGTGCGGATTATGTCGTTGCAATCTGAGTATTCTATGTGTGATCTGTTGGGTTTTGCAGGTTGATGGTGAGCCTTACTGGTATTACGAATATATTATTCGAAAATCACCCACTAAATCTGTGAGTCTATAATCATCATAATGGGTCTATCACTGAGTCAGATACCTTCTGTGGACTTGTAAAGCTGATTTCATGTTAAAAATTCCTGTCATTATGTTGTTGTTTGATGCTTGGTTGAATATATATATGGATTTGAGCTTTGAACATGCAGAACATGACATGTAATACACTGTTCAAAGATGTAAACATAGATAGGCTCCCCCTTCATGTATATTTTAATGTATGTGGATAAATCTATTAACCAAAATGTGTATTCCATAAAATTTAGAAGAATCACAGCGATTTGACAACATCATAACTATAAACACACCTCAGTTGAGCTGTTTGACTAAAATTATTGAGTATAAAAAATGCCTCAATTCCCTAAAATATTGCTAATTATATTCATACATTGAACAAGGTTGGAATATTAATTAATTAGGCAGTCTGGAAAATTATGACCGTCATGGCATAGAAAAATAAATGAATATGGTTAACTCTTGATTTTTTTTGTGTAATTCTTTCCATATTCAATCTTAAATGAGTGAATTGTCACACTTTTGAGGACAATAGATTTTATTTAAATATAACTAAACTCATCATCGAAGCCTTTTCCCAACTAATTGGGATCGGTTCCACTACTCCTGGTCCGCCATTTTACTTTGTTAAGAGTCATACCCTCAGTGAGATCATAAGTCTCTATATATTTTCTCATTACTTCCAAGCATGTCCTTTTGGGCGTATCCCTTGCCCTTTTTGAGCTTTCCACTTGAACTAACTTGCACCTCCTAACATTTGTTGTATTGGGTTTGTGCCACACATGCCCAACCCACTTAAGTCTACTTTCTCTCATCTTATTGCTTATTGGTGCCAAACCTAAATTCTCCCGAATGTATTCATTTCGAATTCTATCCCTTCTTGTCTTTCCATTCATCCATATCAACATCTTCATCTCAGCTACCTTCATTCAATGGGTATGTCGTTTCTTGAGTGCCTAACATTCTGCTCTTTAAAGTAAAGCTGGTCTCACAGTTGTTCTATAGAACTTGCCCTTCAGCTTCATTGGTATGCGGCAATCACATAAAATTTCGGTTGCACATCTCCACTTCGCCCACCCAGTTCTAATTTTATGTGTGACGTCTTCCTCAATCTCTCTATTTTCCTGGATTATCGACTCAAGATATCAAAAGTGTGCTCTTTTTGGTATTTCTTTATCGACAATCTTAATTACTTCTTTGTCTTTACTCCTATTATTACTAAACTTGCATTCCATATACGCTATCTTAGTCTGACTAATTTTAAAACCTTCAGATTCTAGAGCATGCATCCAAAGTTCTAACTTTGTGTTGATGCCATTTTCGGTCTCATCGATTCAAACTATATTGTCCACGAACAACATGCACTACGGTACCTCATCTTGTAGGTTCCTTGTTACGTCATCCATAACTAAGATAAAGAGATATGAGCTCAATGCTGATCCCAGATGTAGATCTATTGCACTGAAAACTCACTCGTCTCTCCACTAGTTGTTCGTACACTAGTTAGCGTTCCCTCATACATATCTCTCACAAAGTCGATGGAGTGTCTTGAGACTCTTTCTTTTTCCAACACCCACCAAATCAAATCTCTAGGTACTCTATCATAAAATTTATCTAGATCGATAAAGACCATGTAGAGGTCTTTTCCTTTTGCCATAAACTTCTCCATTAGTCGCCTAAATAGGAAAATAGCCTTGATTGTTGACATCCCTGGGATAAAACTGAATTGGTTTTCTGATACATTCATTTCATGTCTTAGTTATTGCTCAATTACTCTCTCCTATAGCTTTATAGTGTGGCTTCTAAGTTTGATCTCTCAATAGTTTGCACAATTATGTATGTCTCCTTTGTTCTCGTAAATAGGTACAACATTACTTTTCCTTCATTTGTTTGGCATTTTCTGTGTTGAACATTACTTTTCCTTCATTTTTTGTTGAACAACTTGGTCAGCCAATCAATGTCAAGCTCACCCATGCACTTCTAAACCTCTATAGGAATACCATCTGATCCTAAAGCCTTTATTATCTTCATCCTCTTCAAAGCTTCTTTCACTCATGATATTCTTATCCTACAATTGTATCTATGACCTCCACCGTCTTTTATGCCAATGGTATTTATGACCTCCGCCCTCATTTATGCTATGTTCCCATTGTATTTGACATTTAATGACTTTTGAAAATAAATTCTCCACCTTTCATTGACCTCTTCATTCTTTACAAAGACCCTTTCATCTTCACTTTTAATGCATTTAATATGGTTTGAATCCCTACACTTTCTCTCATTTTTGCCAATTTGAGGACATCTTTTTCACCTTTTCTTGTTCCTAGTTTACTATAAGATGATAAGATTATCATAACGCCTTAAATTTAACCTTTCTTGCCATTTGTTTAGCGTTTTTCTTAGCCTTTTTATATTCTTCTAAGTTTTGATCATTTCTATTATATTGCCAAGTTTTATAACATGATTGTTTTTCGCTAAACTAATTCATGAAATTTTTCTCATAACTGAAAGCCTGGTGGATTTCTAGATGTATACCCTTGAAAATGCTGAAAATTTTTCTGCATACTCATACAGTACATGAATAAGTTTTCCAAATCATTGTTGCGCTGCATGCACAAAGTTTTTCAGAGGAATACCAAGTTCGATTTTTTATCACAAAATATTGATGTGTATTTGCCTGATAACAAAAAATATGAGAGTTCGAAGTATTTTCTGGTGCTGCTCTTTTTTGTCATCCTTGTTTATTGGTGTATTTTGGCCTCTTAATGCAGGCTCAGGACACAAACCTTTATAGGCAATACCTGGCCTCCACTGCCGAAAGGGATGGTAAAATCCTTCACTAAAGATTTGATAATATTCTATTCCATATTCATTTTGCACACACACGCACATACGTCACCACACACACACACACACACAAAGAGAGCGATGAATTGAATGTTTTAATGGACAGCCATGTATCTTCAGTTGTTTTTACATTCCACCTTACTATTGTCCCATCTTAACTTGTAATGAATAGTACTATTGGTGTTTTATTTGCAGGGTATCTGTACTCTTTGAGTGCTTCTACACTTAGCAAACAATGGAATGTTGTAAGTTTCCAATTTTTTATTATTACTCTCCAATTTTTGATTTATTACTTTTATATATTTCTCATTTACTATGAACCATCTCGTGCAACATAAATTTTATATAAATTGCTATCCATTTCCAAAATCTCTTGTTATTACATCTCATGCTTTCAATAAAAAAGGGTGTTTACATATTCTCCATATACAACCAAGTCTAAATGCATGTTTATGGTAAATTTTAATTTCATTGAAGCATCGTTTACCTCTCCAATCTCTTTATCAATGACTGCAATGTTCAATTCCGATATAGAGTATGTTATATGATGATTACTCACATGATTGCTCAAAAACCAGTATCTGTTGTGGTAGAAATTGCTCTAACATTATGACTCTAGCAGCATATGACACAATATTAGTAAACTTTATATATCTTATATTTGTATACCCAAACATCTCTATCAATGATTGCAAACCTTCTCCTTTTTTTTTTTTTTTTGCGATAAATAAGCTCAATATAAGCAAATAATATAAAGCATAGTCATCATGATCAAATCAGACCGGGTAAACTGTCCGGGCTGACCTCCGTCCGGTGCCTTGGCCAATCTAGTCTGAAGTAAAAACTGGGTTGGATTAAAAACTGGTCATAATTAAGCACATGAAATTATAGATCTGAGATGAAAACATACACACAATGTGAACTATTCAATGTGCTAATTCCTATAAAAGAGTACTTCAAAGTTTACTTTCTATTGCCGAAAGATTTCATGCTCTCAAAGGAGCATATTATCCATTTACTCCCTCGTGTAAAATCCAATTGAGGAGCAATTTTTAGGATCCTAAAATTTGGGGATGTAACCTCTTCAAATCATGGACTAACCTCAAAAAGTGAATATTTCAAATTGACCTCTCTATGCACATGAAAAAAATAATATCTCCAGATTGGATAGATTGTCCAATTTTTTAGGGTGAGTTCTATGTGTTAGACTACTTTAGATAACTTAAAATTCAAATTTTCTCCTTGGAAAATAATCATCTATTTGGTCTTAGGTAGATCCCAGTATTTCTTTTGGGTAAGTGGTTCCCAATATTTCAGATTCAAAAAACTCACTCCCAAGTAGGTCTTCTGCCTAAAGGAGTAGATGGACAGTATGCTCCCCTAGAAGCATAGTATAAGTGTTCATTTGTGTTATAAGTGTACAAGACGACTTGAATGAAGCTATCAAGCACTTGTGCGGCTGTTTTTGTTGTAAGTGAAAAGAGAAGAAGAGAAATTTCTAGTTGTTAAATTTGCAATTTTTTGTTAGCATGTTTGCTTTGCAGAAATATTGGCCTGAATGGGACATTTAGCTAGTTCGTTTGGACTAAATAATTGGTGTTTTGGGTGTCACTCAGATGGGGCCATACTTAAAGAAGACAGTGGAGTCTTTTCGCCTTCTCCCACCCACTGAGAACTATGTCCCTCCATACAAGGATCCATGGAGATTTTGGTGACCCGTTCCTGATAAGTATATGCTCTCTCTCTCCCTCTGTGTGTGTGTTGTGTGCATGCATATGAGTAAAATAGGATTCATACCCAGTGCACTATAAAAGCTAAGAGTTCTCACTTTGTTCTTTTTCTTGTGTTGGAGTGTCAATGACAGGGTGTAAATGCATGCAATACATGAGCCAGGTCAAATGTGATTGTTGTATCAATTGCTCTATAAGTTCAGTTTGAGGTGAATTTGTCATGATTTGGATGATAAAATCCAGGTTCAGGATGGAGGATAATAGTTTTTTGAGAAAAACTGTAGGATCGAGGATAATAGTTTCTTCCTCGATCTTGGATATATACCAAAAGACATGCTCTGAACCAGAATGTTTTATACTTCTTCTTGTTGATGGTGTCATCTTTTGAAGTTAAGGGCACTTTTTGCCACATTATATTCAAGAAACAAGGAGCCAAATACGTGACTTAGAAACTAGCATTAGGTCGGCTGTGTTTGTGGATGTTATGAATATCTCGTATCCCCGTTCTTCATTTTTTTTTTTTAATATATATATTTGTCAGCGGGGTAGAGGGGAGTGGTAGTTCAGCTGTAGGAATCAAACTTGAGATATAGTGCTGCTAAATGTCAGCTGCTAACCATTCAAGTCCAAGCCGGATTCCTAATGTGCTTACATCATTGGATTTGCATAATTTGCAACAAGCTAGAAGACTAGAGTGAGAGCATGTTACACAGATGCAGGCAGCATATCTAAAACAGAGTTGAAACTTTTATACACTCACTGAGAGGGAGATAGAGAGAGAGAGTCCTGCCATATTTGGCTAGCTAATAGGGTATTTGAATGCCTGGTCTTTCTTTCTGCTGCAAGAGCCATTATAATGAGAAGTTATCATTAGAGTGAGAACAAGAATTTTTGGAACTAGTTGTAATAACTTGTATTTCTGTGCCCAGGCTTTCTTTTTCTAGCCATTCCAGTACTTTCTACTTCTACATAATTTATGGCACTTGTTTCTGCATCAGCCTCATGCCATGTATATGCTTAAATGAAACTTGCGACAGATTGCATAACTCAACAACGTGGTCAAGAAATTTGTTCCGGTCTCTCGGGACATGGTGATGATGGTCATGTTGCTCAAGTAATGATGTTCTTTGGATCCCTTTCAGCTTGAAGACCTTGACCTTAATTGGTATCGAATTGTTTTAGGCCCTCAAGGAGAGCTTGTTCCTCAATCACCGCAGAGGTTGATGCTGCACCGATCATGCTTGAATAAGATCGTAGCAATTAGTGGGGACGTTTCTAAATAGGGCATTTACATTATTCCTTGGCAATTTTCTGGATTGCCAAGAGAGCCGCCATCAAAGTTGAGTTTGATGACCCCTTATCCCTACCACCAGGAAGGCCTTATGTCTTGACCAAGGAAAGTGGGGTGAGAAAAATGTGTGAAGAGAAAATGGTATAAAGAGCTTTGTGCGATGCACTGCCTATGGTTTTACCCAAACCCAATTTAATCACTGGATCATTTGTACTGGGCCGGGCCTGGGCTACGGCAACCTTAGCCATAGTCCGCCATGGTCCCTATGAGGCTGTTGTGGACTGCATTGGGCCTGTGGGCCAGATCATGCTGTGGCCACGCCCTACCCAACCCTCATGCCACAGTTTATGGCCCAGACTTGAGTTTCTCAAGGACCAAGCCGGGCCAGGCTAGGCTGTGCAAGCCATTGCCAGCCCTATGGACCATGCAAGGCCATTAGTGGTTGGCCCCTAAAAATGGAATAAATGGATGATTGATGGTATCCTCAGTGTCAGTCAGGGTCCAACTGAGACCCAATCGGGTTGGGTCCAGATTGAGGTCAACCGGGACCCAATGTTATTGCCCTAGCTGGGATTGGCCTAGCTGGGTGGAACCTCTTAGCTCTATTTGGTCAACTGAGAGTGCTCTCTTGAATATCACCACCAAATTGAACTTATGTACTTTAGCACCGGTAGGGCTGTCAACGGACCAAGCCTGGACCAGACCAGCTTTGTCCCAAGTATATACCAAGCTGAAGGGGCTCCTGCTCTGTCCAAGCCAGCTATAGCCCTGGCACGGCCTGGCGCAGCCCGCAGGTCATAGTGGTGAATATAAAATCCCCAGCTCTTGGGCAATACTTTGATCCTAAACCCTGGTTTTTTAAGAGTGGCCTGGCCCAAAAACCTAGGCCACAGATCGAGATGGAAATTCCCGCTTCACCCTCTAATTGATTTACTGCCACCGGCATACAGAACAGTGATATCTGATATGCAGGGATATCTAAGAGTGTGGCTTTTATAATTCTCCCCTAGTGACAGTAGCGGCCTTTATACGAGCAATAGACCTGATCCCAAACCCGAAAGTATGGTATGGGATCCTGACCTGAACCAAAAACTAAATATCTATATATTTAGTTATTTTTAAATATATTGCATATAGCGAGAGTGGGGTTAGGGTCGTGGTGGTAGCAATGCTTGTGCCCCAACTAAGTTTTAGGTATCTATTCTCACCTAACGCATTAAAAAACCACTAATGATTTTAAAAAATGAGTAGGGGTTTCTTATCTCCACTGAATTTAAAACTCGAAAAATATTACAGGCCTGGACTTGCGAAGTGTTCCAGTCCAACATTTGAACCTATGCCCATACTTAAATCGGGTATACCCCTCTTGGACCCATACCCGGACCTAAATCGGGTATACCCCTTGGGTCCCGGGTCGGATTTGGGTCCATATCCACCCCAGTCGACCTGTTGTCTTTCTTCAGAAACGGGCACACATGGATAGAGGTCCACACACTTGTGGGTCCATATCCAATTCCAACTCAGTTTCGAGCATAACTCCAATGAGTTTCGTTTTACCCAAATTGATTTAAAGAGACGTGGAGACTTCTGAGCATCTCAAGGATGACAAAAAGTTGTCTGACTTGCAAGTCATTACATTGCAGGAGACTCAAGTGCATTTGTTGACTATAAAAGGAAGGCTAAAAAAACATAAAAACGTAGACTTAAGATGTGGTTGATAATGAGAAAAAAAAAAAGATTTATAGTCTCACGGAGGATATAACTTTTTAATAGATCAAGATTTATATAGCTGATCCAATTAGTTGAGAAAAAGCTTTGTTGATGATAAATATAATATAAAATTAATGTGTTAAGATGATAATATAATGTGTTAATAAAATATAATGATAGTATATGTTATTATTAAAGTGATAAAAATTTATATAGAGTCCAAGTTCTAAACAATCAAATTAGAGCCCACATCAAAAATTTCACTAGAAGAGGTTGTTTTGATGCCTAAATATCTTTAAATTGATCATCTCAACATCAAGATGCACGGAAATGAATTCAAGTTTTGAAAATAGTGTTTCTTGCAATGCATTATTGGATTTTCAATTTTCAAGATTTTCATAGATATGTTTGAACTATACTATTTTTGAAGCTTTAAATTTTATAATTAAAAATGAAAATATATTTTAAAGTTATCACAAAGGTTTCCAATATTGAATCGACATATCTCGACCCTATTTGACGGTATGCCTTATTTTGATTGTTTAGAGCATTGGCTCTATACAAACGCACCCTATTATTATTAGATTATGATTGTAAATTATAAAATAATAATATTAATATTAATTACGTTGATGATATTTCATAAATAATAATAATAATAATAATAAATATTAAATTTTAATATTATAATTCTGGAATAATATCATTATTATGAAATAGAAAGAAAAGGAGAAGAATCACATGACCGAATATAAAAAGCTAATTTTCTCAAAATCTTGCATTTGCTTATTCGTAGTTTTTTTTAAAAAAATGAACAAGAGCATTGAACAAGAGGTTTCGAAGATGTGATCTCCAAAAATACATCCAAACGACCTTAGGCCATCAAAAGTTGAACATGAAAAAGAAGAATTTCATATCCAAAGGTCCCAAATGGCCCATAATTCCATGAAGGAATTTGAATCATTCAAGCTCATGTTAGATGAACTCTGTCTAGAATTGAGAGACGATATTCTAGAGGTTGGGCAAATCGATTCAAAATTATTCAGTTACATAATAAACTTTTTTACCTTTCAAAAAATCCAAACGAGTGTTTCAAAATTCATTAAGCTTGTAAACTTATTTTTATCCAAAGCTCCTCTTACTTTTAAAGACAGTTTCCATGAGTCCACAGACACACATGTAGAAATACGGGCCCCTTAATAATTTATTTTTGAAATAGAATTTGATCATAATTTTCAAAGAATGTATAAATCTTTAACATGGAGATTATTATTCTATACAAATACATAGACTTTAAAAACTAGAGATGATCCTTTTTGGAGAAAATATTTGATCAGTTGATTTTTACTTTTTCTTTGGAGGACTATTATTTATGCGGCCCAATTTTGGGGAACTACGAAGATCTCCAAGCCCACATAGCAATAGGTGCCGGCTAGGACGCACCAAACAAATTTCCTAAATTGACTAGGAGCAAAAGGATCACTAAAAAAGCCCTAAGCCACAGAGAAATCACCACAACAAATCATAAATAACAATAGGCAGCTGTATTCCCATAAATTACCAAAAAGCCCCCAATCCAACGGTACCCTATGAAATGACCGAATTGTCCTTAACCCTCATCACTCAACTCTGCAAACTCTGTTTCGTCATCCTTGTCACTGCCCTGCTCGACAGGCTCATCGTTTGAGGCCTCCCCAGTAGTTTCTTTCATCGTTTCTGCACTTCTCAAGCTCTTTCCTCTCACCCCATCTTTTCCATTGCCCATCTGCCATGTTACATACGCTTTTTTTTAGGTAGAGCGAGACCCATCACACACACACACATACATGTATGCATTTTCTTCACACACACACACACATCTGCAAATATATATAGCGAGTGAGAGAGCACTAAATCTGGACTGTGCAGTAGCTCCAACCTAGTTTTGGTTTAAATAGACCATTGATCAGTCTGGTTAGGCACTCTTAACTGAAAAAAGAGCAGTAGTGACCTGATGTGAACTCATACAGTTCTTGAATTCTAGTTCTTGTCGTCTCGATTCCAAGGTACAATTTGTAACCAAAGGAAATGTATAATGGTGGGCAAATGGTAGATTCCGTTAAGCTGTGACTGAAGCATGGCATAAGCCAATGAAAATGATACAGAAACTACCCTTCAAAAATTACCATCCTCCATAACAAAGTTAAGAACCAAGTTAAATTTGGATATTATGTTTAGATCAAAGCACATGCATCCACAGCAACCTCTAGGAAAATCTCATAGTTAACGACCAACAACCCCAAATTCTATTTTAAATGAAAACTTTTACGATTTTATCTTCAAGAAAAGCCATTTGTTAATGAGTTTTTGAACAACTTACAGCACGCAACAAAGTTCTCCTGTCCCTTTCCCTAGCATTCTTGATAGACTGCAAATATTTATTTCACAAGTTAAGAGGTTACAACCATCACAATGCAAAGCTACTAAGTATTGAAATAAGAAAGAGGTCAAGTAAGAAAGGACATTACTTCTTCTAGTAATTTGCGCTCAGCCTCTACTTCTGAAATATCTCTGAGAAAACAAGAGTCCATACTCTTAAAATAGTAGCACATGATATAACAACAACGTAGTTCCTCAGATAATAGCACTAAGTAATGAAGCCATCGTGTAGCATGGAGACAAAGGTACAATAGTGCAGGAAAAAAAAAAAACAAGAAAAAAAAAGGCATACAAAGCTAATGTTAACTCAAACCCACCTTCCAATTATTCGATCGACACAGCATGAACATTTTGCACAAACATCAAGATCCTTCGCACATGCTGCACAAAGTTACATGGAGTAAAGTTACATGGAGTAAACAAAAAATTGCATGAGGAACTCAGCTTTATAGAAGGAACAGATACACAATTTTCCTTTTTTTAAATTGTGATTTTATGTTTTCAACAAAACAGGAGAAAATTATTCAATGTGGCTATAGAAACAAGAATTTGAGAAAACAATTGCAAGATACACAGAAAAGTAACATTTAGTAAGGAGATAAACTTTCCAGAACAAAGATTATGATAAGCCTGTCGAACCGCTCGTTTCCCGCATCGCTGACTAAACATGCAAGAAAGCGTAATTGTAAGAGAATTTTTTAACAAGCAATAACTAGCATAGGCTATGCATAAACTTAAATGCTAAAAAACAAAATATACTAGGAAATATTTATTGAATTAAAAAAAATCATGGTGATGTAAAAGATGAATATTACTCTTCTTTACATTAAGAAGCCACCATTAAGCTAAACATTTCGATAGAAAGCCCAAAAGAAAGGAAGCATGATCCTATACTAACCATTTAGCTGGTTCAACCAACGGCTTGTATTTTCCATACCTAAATAAGATGAAACAACCATCAGAGAAGACATGATAAATCTGATTCCAATGAATGCATCAATGTAGAAAAGAACAGTTATTGCAACTGCACCATGATGAATACAAGGGTGTGGAGCGTCAAATCAACTAATGTTTCTATACTTTAATTATCATAAACTATTCACAACAAAGAAATGAATATGCCCAGCATCTCGATTAACAATAGGAAAAAGTTTATACAAGTTCGAAACCTTATAATATAGACGTAAGGTGTCAAAAATGTAGTAGAAAATTGTGTTCTGAAGTTCGAAAACCTTCCAATCGACCTCGAGAAGTACGAATATAAAGAGAAAAGAGAATTTTAAATCCTAAAATAATGCATCATGTAACAAGGAATCTGGAATGTCTACTTTCAAGATTTTCAAGTGTTTATAGATATGCTCGATCTAAACCATTTTTTAAATTTTAAATTTCATAATTAGCGTTGAGCATGGATTTTCAAGCCATCATAAGGTTCCCGACATCGAAACTACATCTTCCAGAAAAATTTAAAGCCATGATTTACTTGCATAGTAAAGTGGGCACCTTATAAGAACCTCATTCCTAACAATATCGTAAATACTGGAACTGTTTGTTATTTATTATATCAGGGCAAATTTCCATTCAAAAGGGAGAGCTGAATTTGTTGTAAATGTATCAAGGGTTATGACTGGCTGGAAGCCATAGGCAGACATGGATTACCCAAAGAAGCCGATCACATGCCGCGCATCACAGACAAGATTCAGCCACATAGACAACACAAAAAAGCATTAGAACAACCCATCCAGATTCAACTTCTTATGCATGAACGTCTGACCAAAAAGATCTGTAATAGGGGTATACTATCGTAAAAGTAATAGAACATACTTGCGTTTCCATTCAATTTGATCCTTACAACGACCACAAACACCTGTTATCTGAGAGAATGGACGAAGCTTTCCGCCCACTTCCTGTGCAAGAGAGCAAGAGAGGATGCAAATCAATAGATCGACAATGAATTTATCATGAGCACAAAATTTGGAAACTGAAAAGGAGTATTATAGCACTAATTTTTACACAAAAAAACTGTATCCAAATATAGCATTACGACCCCTATAACAAACACAGAAGAATGAATAAAGGACAAAAGTCATGCCATTACAAATACATTGAAATTGATATTCATAACATGAAATTATGGTGGAGCACCATCCAATCACAAGCAAACAAGGTTTAAACTCCAGAGGCCATTAAAGCATATGATAGAAAAAATATCCATTTTTATCCCTTTTATTCATAATGAACTAGTTATGAATTATTTTTTATCTCAATAGGGCGACAAAACCAGAATGAAACATAAGTAGTACTTACTGTCTCATTCTTCTTGTGACCAGCATTGGGCTTCCAAGCATACCTGAGAAGAACCACCACATTGATAGGAAACACATTAATCTATATGCCCCAAGATTTTTTTTTTTTTTGAGAACTATTGACTTTATATTAATATTAGTAAAATGCGAAATAATATTAGTAAAATGCCCCAAGATTTATTTTTTATTTATAAATTAGGTCCAGTTGAGTAGATGATGACAAAGAAAAATGGAAATGTATTGTACTTATTGGCATGTTTGGGATGACCATTTCTACCACTACTGGACATGAATTCCTTCTTGGCTTGCTGCAGAATTAACAATGTGTTATAATAGATGATATGACTATCCATAGGATATAATTCGCTCAACAAATCATCTTGGTTGCAAACAACTTGGTATATAAAATCAAAAGAAGCGCAATTCAATAGTCTTCATTGGTTGTAAGTTTTTCAGGACCAATTGATAGATAAGATGGTATTTAATAAAAAAAAGAAAGAAATACCAAATCGTAAGACAATGATAACAACATAAATCTTTTGTCAGTGAATTCAAATTGAATAAAACAATGTGAAAGCAAGGGTAAAGCAAAACACATAAAAGGCACCATGCTATTGATCTCTGTTTAAGGATGAAAGCAATATGCAATTTTACAGCAAGTTCTACCAAAGAAATTTGAGAAGGCCCCAGTTATCACAAGAAAAAAAAAAAAAAGAGATAGGAAAGCCATTACAAAAAAACCCAAGATTCTGAACATTAAATGTAAAAATGCCTTAATGCTTCACTTGAAACTACAAATTTAAATCCCATATTTAAAACCACAAGCTACAAATCTCCATAACTACCCATGAAACTCACAAACACTCATCCCTAATCCCAAATGCAATCTAGAGTATCCCCTCATATTTTGGTCTTTGAAACCCTAAACCCCAAAAAACATACCCTTAAACCAGAATTCAAAGTCTGCTTTAAATCATACACTGTAGTCATTGCACCAAAGAAGAACGAAATCACAAAAAACAATAAATTCCAACATCTGAAAACAAAACAATTTAGCGTTTTCATAGTTTTTTCAAACAAAATTAAGATCTTAAAACCCTAAACCCCCAACCTCGAATTTCACAACACGAAAAAAATGAACTTTACAGAGTGAAGCTCAGAAAATTACTCCGAAATGTCTGAAATGAAACCTAGAACCATTGTTTCCGCTTTTCCAATGACTAGAAAACAAAAAAACAAATCCTGGAAATATAATTTGAAACCAAAGTCCAATCATTCCAATCCTTAAACCCTAAACCCTACTTTCCAACAAGAAAAGAAAAATTAAGCCCCAAAACACTAACACCCTGAAACCCTAAACACGGTAAACAACAAATCAAAAAAGATAAAATCTAAAAATCAGAAGAGAGAGAGAGAGAGAGAGAGAGAGAGAGAGAGAACGCACTTGTTAAACTGAAGAAACAGTGGTTATGATTTTTGAAACGTAAAACTTTGGCATCCTTTTTTTCGAAGACTGTGTTTCATATAAGGAAAATTATAAAAAATACAACCCGCTTATCAACTAGGACATGGTTTCTATGCGGCCAGCCCGCATATTGTAGAATTGCGGGCTTGGCAATAAATATATATTTGAAATATAATTTTATCTTAATTTTTAGAAAATATATAATCTTTAACATGGAGATCATGAATATGAAAAAAAGAATTGAAAATTAAAATTAATAATTCTATTAAAAATATTTGGATTGTTAATTACACTTGTTTTTAGATGACCATCTACATGTATCCATCTTTAAAATGGATGTTTTAAACCTCTAGACTGCATATTGTAGAAAAGCAGTCCAACCCGCAGGAAACAATTTTCCCTTCAACTATTCCACGTTGTTATCCTTTTTCTATTGTTCCAACTCAAAATTAGGGTGACAATGGGTCGGGTCCGGCTGGACAAGGACCCAAATAGTATTCGTGTCCAAAATTTAGACCCATAGCCAGAGCCGTTGGGTCCCGTGTCCGATTGCATGTTTTGATAGGTTTTTTTCTTTTGAAGTAGTTAGACCCCAATTAGTTGGGATAATGGCCTATTAAAGATGCAATAATTTTAAAATAGAGTTGTATTTTATGAGATCATTTATTTTTGGTATAAGGAGTTCACTATCACTTTCAGCCAATGAATGTGAGATCTAATAGCCAATGAAAGCGTATCACAGCATTTGAAAAATTTAATTTTAGATGTTCTAGAATGATGTGTCATCATCAATCACCTACTTTTAAATCTGACAGTCAAATGACAATTGTGGCCTCCTTGTATCAAAAGTAAATGGTTTCATTGTATACATTTTCTATTGAAATTCAATAAAATAATATGTAAATAAATAAAGGTGTGGTTTACATAGAGTTGAGGCTCTAAACAATCAAAGTAAAGCACACTTTAAAAGGTGTCGAGAAATGTGGTTTTAATACTGGAAATATTTGTAATAGCCTTAAAATATATTTTCATCTTTAATTATAAAATTTAAAGCTTCAAAATTAGTGTAGATTGAGCAGATCCATAAAAAATTGAAAAACTTGAAAATTGACGGTAAATGTATTACAAGATGCACTATTTCTAAAACTTGAAATCCATTTTTTTCCCATGTCTATACATCTTGATGTCGAGATAATCAATTTAATGATATTTAGGCATCAAAACAACCTGGTAAAATTTTTGATGTGGGTTCTAATTTGATTGTTTAGAGCCTCAGCTCTATATAAAAGATTGGTAATGTGTCCACCATCCAAACGACCGATGAGATTGAGAGCTAGACGGCCGATAAGATTGAGAGAGAAGCTTTTGTACAAATAGAGTGAAAATACAGTTATTTTGGACCAGAAATTTTAAATCGAATAGATGCCCAAAACCGATCATCCATTGGTTCTGAACTGCCTAAGTCACCGGGTCTTTTTGTATTAGATCAGAGCAGAAAATCGATGTGGTGTTAAACCCAGAATGGTACCCCGTTGGTTCTGATCTGGCTCGAGCAGTCCTGAGCTGACTTCTACAAGCTAGGGATAAAGATAGATTTTGAAGCTCTCATAAAGTTTTCGATAACGAAACTACATCTTTAAACAAAGTTTAGAGATGCACCTTACTTTTGTAGTATAAGGATGGCATCTTGTACAAATCTGATATGTAAGAAATTAACAAAAATAAATGATACAGAAATCATGAATATAGAAAAAAAAAATTAATAATTTGAAAACTAAAAATAATAATTTATTAAAAAAACTTTTGAACCGTTAGTTACAATTATTTTTAGATTAACCAATTATTTGCATCCATCATTAACATGGATGTTTTATGCCTTTGGAACATAAAACGTTGAAATGCGGTCCAACCCGCATGAAACAATTGTTCTTTAAAAAGTGGATATGGGGGCATACAAAAACTATTATTTGAAAGGGAAGAATCGTCTCCTTGTAAAAAAGGATTCATGTTTTAAGGGGTAAAAAATATTTTCTGTTTGCAGATGAGAAATAGTCTTGAGAATGAGTTGAGGCCTTGATAGTATTACTATCAAGCTCCATGAATCAAGTCCCCGACTCTATTCTTACCAAAAGGTAGGGCCCAAATCCCCACTAATATCCTCACAAAAACAGAGAAGATGAGAAATTATCTTGAGAATGAGTTGAGGCATTGATAGTATCACCTTCGGAGCCCCATGAATCAAGTTTCAGACTCCATTCTCACTAAAAGGTAGGGCCCAAATCTCCACTAATATCCCCAAAAAAGAAGAAAAAGAGAAATAGCCTTCTATTTCTTTTGCTCCAACTCGTCCCAGATAGAAAAATCCTTAAAAAGTTTACATATTTTATATTTTAGACTCAAATCCCACTCTTGAGAGTACATATTTTTTTATTATTATTAGTTTTTTTACACATCTAATTAAGTTTATATGTGGATCAACAATAATTCACCTATAAAAATATAGTAAGTCAAAATAAATAAATTAACCAAAATACCTGTTAAACTTGCGAGAGTATCTTGCCCATTTTAGTTCATTGAATTTCTTTTATAGGTTTTCTCCTGCAATGAAGAGACCTATGGATGCCCAAAATATGATATGAATAGAATATATACAAGAAACAAATTTAAAATACATTACGATCTCTCAAAAAGGACTTGAGCCTAACATATAAAATAGCGGGGACTATTTTAAGTTTCCATAACAAAATTGGATTTTAGTAAAATTTTTAAAAATCAGAAAATAAAGAAAAATGAAATATTATTGCTAGTAAAATGAATATGGCATCCTTATCTATTACAAATTTTTTCTTTGGATGCACCAACTCAGCCCGAAATCCAACGAACAAATAAAACTTGGTTATTATTAAAAGGAAAAAGTTTATATAAGGTTGCAACCCTAAAATGTAGAATTATCGATGCACCTCAAAAGTCTATCGGAGAATGTTTTAATGTTGGAAAACCCTCTAATTGATCATCTCAACATCAAGATGTGTGAATATGAAAAAAAAAGATTTTGAGTTAAAAAAATAGTGCATCTTGCAACACATTATCTAGACCGTCCATTGTCAAGATTTTCATATATTTATAGATCTACTTGATTTTGACTATCTTTGGAACTTAAACTTTTATAAGTAGAAATGAAAATAGATTTTGAGATAATCCAAAGAATTTTTATACCAAAATTACATGTTAAATTAAAATTTGGAGGTGCCTTTTAATTGGATTGTTTAAAATTGCCACCTTATAGAAACCGGACCCTTATTAAAATATACTAAATTCTTTTATGCTATTTTCTTGCTTTCCACCTAGCAAATAAATTACAAAAAATTAAAATTCCTTGAGCATAGAAAGCCTTTATTGGTAAGAAAAAGCAAATTCTTACCCTGCGAATTTTTTTTTAAAAAATGTCGTATACGCCTTTTTAATATTTGTAATCTCAAATAACCCCTAGGGTTTAAACAACCTCCATTTTAAAAGAAAAGGACGTTTAATCGCCCTTCATACTTTTTTCATCGTTCAAATTGTAATATTTACCATTTACTTTTGTCTAATAATTTTATTATATAAATAGAATTTGACATGTCTCTTTTAACCTAGTTGACATGTTCACGAGATGGGAAAATA